GGTTCCGACTCGATGGCACCTGACAACAACAACAACAACATGGGCAAAATATTGAATGGTGAAAAAGTATCAAAGTAGATGCAAGGAATACACAAGAGTCACTGTACCAAAAAGAAGTGGTCAACGTTCAACCATTTCAAGAGATAGCATATGATCAAGAGCCAATGATCCTGAAGGAAGAAGTCAAAGGTGCATTTAAGCTACTGGCAAGGAATAAGGCACTGGGAATTGATGGAATTCAAATTGAAATCTTACAAAAAACTGATGCAACACCTGAGGCTGTCACCCATTTATACGAAGAAATTTGGAAGACAACTATCTGGCCAACTGACTGGAAGAGATCCATATTTGTCCCCATTCCAAAGATAGATGACCCAACGGGATGCGGAAATCATTGGATAATACATTGATACATGCAAGGGATATCATTGCTAACCTCAGATGGATTGTGGCTGAAAGCAGAGAACACCAGAACAATGTTTACCTGTGCTTTATTGACTACACAAAGGCTTTCGATTGTGTGTGTCATAACAAGCTATGGACAACATTATGGAGAATGAGTATTCCGAAACACTTAATTGTACTCCTGAGGAACCTGTACATAAACCAAGAGGCAGTTGTTTGAACAGCATATCAAATGATTTAAAATTGTGTGCGCCATGTTTGTATTCTGTCACCATACTTACTCAATCTGTATGCTGAACACACAATCTGAGAAATTGGATTATACAAAGAAGAATTTGGCATCATTAACAACCTGTGATATGCAGATGATACAATCTTACTTGCTGAAAGCGAAGAGGGCTTAAAATACTGACTGATGAAGATCAAAGACTACATACTTTGATCAAAGATCAAAGACTACAACCATACTTCTGTATGGGTTGCATCTCAATGTAATGAAAACAAAAATCCTTACAACTGGACCAATAAACATCATATTGTCAGGAGGGACCAGTCACTGGATAAGGATATCATGTTTGGTAAGGTCAGAGAAAAAGAGGAAGATCGCCAACAAGATGGATTGGCCAAGTGGCAGCATTGGTGGACTCAAGTGTGGCAACAGTAGTGAGGTTGGCCCAGGATCGGGCAGTGTTTCATTCTGCTGTGCATAGGGTCGCTATGGGTTGGTACTGACTTGGTGGCACCTAACAACAACAACAACAAATATAAGTGGAGAAAAGATAGAAGTTGTCAAAGACTTCATTTTGCTTGGATTAACCATCAACACTCATGGAAGTAGCAGTCAAGAAATCAAATGAAGTATTGCATTAGGCAAATCTGCTGCATAATACCTCTTTAAATGTTGAAGAGCAAATATGTCAGCTTGAGGATTAAGATGCACCTGATCCAAACCATGGTATTTTCAATAACCTCATATGCATGTGACAGTTGGATCGTGAATAAGGAAGAGTGTAGAAGAATTGATGCATTTGAGTTACGGTGTTGGAGGAGAATATTGAAAGTACCATGGACTGCCAAGAAAACAAACAGATCTGTGTTGGAATATATAGCCAGAGTGCTACTTGGAAGCCAGGATGGCCACACTTTGTCTCTCATACTTTGGACATATTATCAGAAGGGACCCGTCCCTGGGGAAGGATATTAGGTTTGGTAAAGTGGAAGGTCAGAGAAAAACAGTAAGACCCCCAATGAGATGGATTGGTACCGTGGCAGCAGCAATGGGCTCAGGCGTATCAATGATTGTGAGATTGGCTCAGGACCAGTCAGTGTTTCATTCTGTTGTGCATAGGGTTGGTATATTTGATACTGACTCGATGGTACCTAAGGACAAAAACAGTTGTCAAATTTAGGAGGATTCTACTGGCATCTTTTTGGTGGAGACCAAGAGGCTGCTAAATAGCAAACCATGTATTGAACAGTCTCCACAACAAAGAATTATTCATTCCCAAATGTCAGCACTGCTGAGGTTTGTGATTGTTGTTAAGTGTTGTTGACTTGGTTCCAACTCATAGCATCCCTGTATAGGGTTTCCAAGTGTGTTTGAACTGCCAAACTAGTGTGTTTGAATTGCCAAACTTGTTGTTAACAGTTCAGTGCTTATCCTACAATGTAGCACCAGGACTCTAGTGGTGAGGTTTAAGAAACCCTATTTAATACCATTGGAGTCCTGGTGTGGCACTGTGGGTTAATGCGCTGGATTGCAAAGCCATTTGAACTGCAAGGTCAGTGGTTCAAGCTCACCTGCTGCTCCTTGGAAACCCTATACAGGGTCGCTATGGATCAGAACTGACTCAACAGCACTTCACAACATCATTTAATACCATTAAGCCCAAATTAGAGCATTAGCTCTAAAAGTCTTGATAACAATAATACTTCTTGAAAGTAATGTGAAAACTAAGAAACCAAGAAATTTTAGCTCTGACAACTATTGCTACTGACATTCTGGGACACTGTTTCCAGCCCTCCATTTTAATGCAGTTGAAACCATTCCTCTACAATGACTGGGACTGATTTGGAAGTCAAAAGCACTGCAAAGATTCTCTCAACTGATGGTTGACTGAACCTTAGAATAACTGTGTTGTGACTGCATTGTTGCTGTTAGTTGCCCACATTCAGCTCAGACCCATGGTGACAACTGTGCCTCTATAGAGTTGCTCTAAGATCTTTACTCTACATAGTTAATTTTGTAGCAATTATTTACTTTTGTGTTATTTAAATTATCCTTTCCTCCCCCATAATCTTGTGAAATCCCTTAGCACACTCTTTGAGTTGTCAATTGTATAGCATAGTAAATAGTAACTAGTTATAAAGGAGTGACAAGGAATTAATTATAAATACAGACATCTGATTTAACCACTCTTTTAAATGCAGTTTACCAAGAATGGAGTGCATTTCCAATCTTATAAAGTCAAATTTATGCGTGAAGACATGGAAATTATTTAATCAAATATTATTTTAAATTACTCTATTTTATAAAAACACTTTAAAGAAAAAAATAATAGTGTGCCTTTGTCAATACACCTTAGTTGTTAATGTATTTCAATCTCAGATGTACTCACAGAGCTTGATTGTAATCTTTCTGTGTAAATTTTCCCAAATTTATTAATGTGGAAATTACTCCCAGGTACATGTTGTTGTTGTTGTTATGTTCCCTGGAGTCGGTTCTGACGCATAGCGACCCTGTACAGGGTTTCTGAGGCTGTCAATCTTTACGGGAGCAGAAAGCCTTATCTTTCTGCTGTGGAACAGCTGTAGTTTTGAACTGCTGACCCTGAGGTTCGCAGCCCGATTCGTAACCACCACACTACCGACTTGAAAATCAGGGACAGTTTTAGTCAGAAAGCTTTGTTGTTGTTGTTAAGTGTCGTCGAGTTTGTTCAACTCAAAGAGACCCTGTATGGAGGTGAGTTTATAGCTGTCAGCTACCCATAAATAAACGTTTAAATTTGTGACTATCACATGCCAACTCTTAACTATTTCATTTCTCATTTATAGCAAAATTGGTAAAATATTTCCATTCTATAATTTTCAATTTTCTGTGTGTATGGGCCACTATAAATAATCTACCCACTACTCTTCTCAATATATTCTTTTCCTGTCAATTTTTTTTTTCCTGTATTTCTCACTTTAAGGGTTTAAGATTCAGTTTTATAATTTCTTCAGCCATACCACTTAGAAGTCAGAAATTGCATACAATAGATAAAAATTGTTACCTTTCATCTAGTTTACTTTTTAACTAAGAGTCTAACAAATTTGTGAAATCCCAAACTTTTTTTTTTTTTTTTAATGTTTTTATTGTGGATTGAGTGAAAGTTTACAGGATAGATCATCAATTTTATGTTCAACAAATCATACACCTTGTTTCATTACAAAGATTATAATCCCCTCCATGTGCCATCAGTTAACAATATTTCTCTCTATTCACTTTAGCTCATTTTTTTAAACACTCAAGGATATATAATAATTTACACTACCAAAGGGCACAGTCTGCAAGTCTGCCTCCTGGCTGCCAGCTCTTAGTTCCTCCCTTCTCACGAATCTTGAGTCCTCAGCTGCTCCCTCTCTCCATTACCCCATCTCTACCTCCATCACTGATGTCTTTGCTTCTCTGGATAAGGTCTCGCATTCTGCTTGTGTTTTTCTCCCTTGATAGTCCTAGGGTCCTCTGTTCCTGAAATGTAAGATTGACTATTCCCCCCATTTTTGATATAAAACTTCTAGCTTTACAACTGTGACAGTTATAATTAGTCATGATAACAATTACTCACTATTGAATCATAAGAATTGTGTCCCCATTTCTTTTTACCAGCTCCATCTAGACAAGATGAAAACTATTCATTGGGGACTTTACCTTCCACTGCACAGTCTTAAACTAAACTCCCTCTTGACACCTTGTAAGCCAGTCACTTCATGCCTTTATTGCCCCCTTCATATTAGGTATCCAATGTCTAAGTTGCCCCTCCTTATCTGTGTACAGAGAGGATACCATTGATACTTCCTATGAAGACTCCTTCCCTCTCTGTTGGTATTTAGAGTTACTACCTCCATGAGTATAGGTCAGGTTCATCTAGTTGTAGCAATTTACCCATGTTTCCTTTATCAAAAATAATTTTGTTCTCTCTTTTTTTTTTTATTTTTTTTTTATTTATTCGTCTTCCTCTAGTCAAGTTCTGAATAGCGAGGCTAGGTGAAATAGCTACTATCTTCAACTTTGGATGTTCTTGTGCATCTCCTCTCATTCCATGTCTGCTGGATGCTTCACTCTCAGCTCTAGCCCTCTGTGGCTACATCCTTGTCAAAACAATTTTTTTTTTTTAATTTTAATTACTCTTTTGGTTTTCTGTTAAAAGGATTTTATACATTGCTTTGTACATAAGTTTCAATAAAAGACCACTTAAATAGAATTTAACAAAATATTAAAGCAGGTATAGAAATGGCTTCATCATGCATGGACAAGAAGGCTCCTCATTGTATGACAATGATTTGACATATGGATGTCTATGAGAGGGTTTGTTAGTGCAATTCTGCAATCAGAGAGGAGTAATTGAAAACGTTGAGAAATAAGACAAAGAAAGAAAATCCTTCACTTACTTAAAGAGGTCAATGCTAGTTCTCTATGTGTTGATGGCAGTGGTGAATTTCTGCCAAGTTGGTTCCGACTCATAGCAACTCTGTACAAGGTTTCCAAGGAGTAGCTGTTGAGTTTGAACCACTCACCTCTTGATTAGAAATCCAGTGCTTATCTTAAAGCATCACACCAGGACACCATGGAAGGTTGTACATGTTTATTTCAATCAGAGTTTGATAACTTAGGGGAGTAATAAATGGATAAGCACTGGACTACAAGGTCAGTTTGAACCTCATGCCAGAGGCTCAAACTCACCAGCCACTCCTCAGGAATCCCATACAGGGTTGCTATGAGTCAGAACTGACTTGACAGCACTTAACAACAACGACAATAAACACTTTAAAATCCCTAAATAATGAGAAAGTTGCCAAAAATGGGATTATCTTTAAAACTATCCTGCCCAAATGGATAAGCAGATGATGACCTGCCTCTAGAAGGGAAGCTAACTAAATTAGCTCCATGTGTTTTATTTGTACAGCCTGTCACCAAGACATTTATAAAGGAATTGATATGAAAGGAGTCAATTTTAATGTATCTAAAGTTAGAAGTGTTGAAGAATGCCAAAAAAGCTGTACCAATAACATCCATTGCCATTTTTTCACATATGCTACAGAAACATTTCACAATGCAGCATTCCGGTGAGTAAAATTCACACTGTGTTTTTTGTTGGTGCTCTTAGGATTTCATTGTGTTCTTTATAACCCCTGTCTCTTTTTTTTTTTAATTGAAAACAAAACAAGAATTTTAGACCTAATCATTCTCCTTATTTACTTATTCACTTTTGATGTCATTTTTCCTTAAAAGAGTTAAGTTCCATTTGGTCCACTGATAGGCTATGCTTGTGACTCTAGGGACTTTGAATGGTCAGAGTTCTGTGGGATAGACTCAAGTCTCTCATTCCTACCCACAATGCAGAGGGGAAGGATGTCAATTTGCTTCATACTGCAAACTTGTTTATTCATGATCAGGATCTTTGTTTATTATTATTTCTTTCTGCTGCTCATTCATAATTTTATTGTTAATTATTTGCACTCCAGCACACATCTTGAAGTTTAGGAAGCAAAGTAACTCCTTTTGTTCATATTTAGGAACAACTGCTTGTTAAAGAGTAGTGCAAGAGGAACACCTACCAGTATAAAGATGCTGGATAATGTGATATCCGGATTCTCACTGAAGCCCTGTGCACAATCAGAAATAGGTAATTATAAAGCTATTATTTTACTATGAGATGACAGTAGTCAGAATAAAGATCCCCCACCCACCAGACACACACACTTCCTTTTTTCCTCCTTCCCTTCCATCACCCCCTTCTGGTATATCCCAAAGGTGTCCAGGAACCTGTGGGTAGTTTCCTTACATGACACAGGGGCTTTGCAAGTTACTGATTTGAGAAGGGAAGGATCATTTTGGTTTATCTAGGTGTGACCTATGTCCTCATAAGATAAAGAAGGCAGCACAATTGTAGGAGTTCCAGAAAGAGATCTGAATGTGTTACACTGTAGACTAAGTAGCATGAGCCAAGGAGTGCGCATAGCGGCTTGAAGCTGGAGCTAGAAGTCTCTCTTGGAATCTCCACAAGGAAAGGAGCCTCCTTAACTGTAGTTCAGTAAATCCCATTCTGGAGTCCTGGTGTGGCCATGTGGGTTAATGCGCCAGACTGTAAGGTCAGTGGTTCAAGCTCACCAGCTGCTCCTCAGAACTCCTATACAGGGTCTCTATGGGTAGGCACAGACTCTATGGCACTTCACAACAACAACAACAACAACAAATCCCATTCTGACCTTTAGAATTGTGAAACACTGGATTTGCTTTTTAAGTCACTAAGTTTGTAGGCGTTCTGGTAGCGTAGTGGTTGCGAGTCGGGCTGCCAACAGCAAGGTCAACAGTTCGAAACTACCAGCGGTTCCATGGAAGAAAGATGAGGCATTCTGCTCCCAAAAAGATTTACAGCCTCGGAAACCCTGTGCAGGGTCACTATGAGATTCCACAGTACTTAACAACAACAAGTTTGTAGGAGCTTTGGTAGCGTAGTGGTTACCAATCAGACTGCTAACCTCAAGGTAGGCAGTTTGAAACTGCCAGCTGTTCTGTGGGAGAAAGATGAGGCTTTCTGCTCCCATAAAGATTTACAGCCTTGGAAACCCTGTGCAGGGTCACTATGAGTAGGAACGGACTCCAAGATATTTAACAACAACAACTTTGTAGTAATTTATTATAGCAGCAAGAAATGACTGTTTTACAGGAAACTATATATATATATATATATATATTTTATTTTTTTCCCTTGATGAAGTCGATATCTAAAAAAATGAGTCTATCATAGTGAATCAATAAAACCCTGTCATTTCAGATATACAGGTAATTATCCAGAAAGTTGCCATGACATTCCATTTCATCTAGTGTAGTAAGGTGTTCTTGCAAGGTGTTATTGAAATTAAACGTAATTCTATACAATAAAAGTCTGTACTCAGTGCCAAGTCTTGTATTGACTTTTGGGCTAGGTTTATTCTATGGAAGATTGGAAGTTGTCAACAATACATCTCTTTTCTCTCTGTTGCTTCCCTTCTGTATATTCATCTGTATATTACAATCTGTACTTTCCTTTCACAGTGCATGCCATATTTATTGGTTCAAATTTATTGCTTATTTTTTAAAATATTTGTTACTTTTTTTTCCCCTGTGAGGCTTCTTAAAGATATAAACAACTGGATTTAGTATTCTTTATCCAAAGACATTCTGTTCATTACATACTAGTGTTGCTGAAGGTGTTTTTTGCACTCTCCCAGTGACCTGGCATCATCATGCACCTACCTCAGGTCATTCTGGGGTCTATGGTTTGAAAGAGTACCCCCTATGGCGAATGTGTGTGCTCCATCAACAATTATCCTGCTGTGCTTAGTTTGCTTATAAAATTTCAAATGATTCACAATTTAGAAACCTTTACAGAGAGATAAAAGTCCGGGGCATTTGAGACAATGTTGTGCAATGCTAAGGGTACAGCTTTTTACTGCTATCACTTTCGACATTCATCAAAGAGCACCTAGTAGCCAGCTATATTCCATGCCTCTAGGAAATCCTGGAGTCCTAAAATCTGGGTATGGTGCTTTGGTGTAAACGTTGAACTGCAAGGTTGGCTTGCAATGCAAGGTTGGTGGTTCAAAATCACCAGTTGCTCCTCAGAAACCCTGTACAGGGTTGCTAAGAGTCAGAACTGACTCAATGACACTAAACAGCAATAGTCCTGGTGTGGCACTTTAGGATAGACATTGGACTGCAAGGTTGGTTTGCACTGCAAGGTTGGTGGTTCAAGTTCATCAGTGGCTCCTCTAAAACCCTATATATGGTAGCTATGAGTCAGAATTAACTCATTGGCACCTCAAAACAAAAAATAGTTAGACTGACTCTGGGCTATCATCTCACTTGAAATTCACAAGTGAAAAGTGATTTGTAGCCATTATCAGAAGTTTGTTCTTAGTTTCACCAAGAACTTTCCTAATTTTACACACAAGACAACCAACTTGAGGGCACTTAACAACAACAACTTGCAATATTGAAGGATTCTATGGGCAAAATATTGAATGATGCAGAAAACATCAAAAGAAGATGGAAGGAATACACAGTCATTGTACTATAAATAGATTGTTGATGCTCAAACATTTGAAGAGATAGCATATGATCGAGAGCCAGAAGTACTGAAGGAAGGATTCCAAGGGGCCTTGAAGGCTTTGGCAAAGAATATGTCTCCAAATGGATAGAATACAAATTGAGTTCTTTCAACAAACTGAAACAACACTGGAGGCAATCATTCGTCTATGTTAACAAATTTGGAAGACAACTACCTGGCCATCCAACTGGAAGAGATCCATATTTGTGCTCATTCTAAAGAGAGGTGACCCAACAGAATGCAGAAATCATGGGACAATACCATTAATATCCCATACAAGTAAAATTTTGCTAAAGATAATTCACAAACAGCTGCAACCATGCCTTGACCAAGAAATTCCAGAGGTTCAAGCAGATTCAGAAGAGGATGTGAAATGACGGATATCATTACTGAAGTCAGATGGCTCTTGGCTGAAAGCAGAGAATACCAGAAAGATGTTTACTTGTGCTTTATTGACTACGCAAAGGCTTTCAATTGTGTGGATCATGAAAAGCTATGGATAACATTACAAAGAATGAGTATTCTGGAACACTTAATTGTGCTCTTGAGGAACCTGTACATAGACCAAAAGACAGTTGTTCGAACAGAACAAGGGAACAATGAATGGTTTAAAATTAGGAAAGATGTGTGCCAAGGTTGTAATATTTCATCATATTTATTCAATCTGTATGCTAAGAAAATAATCCGAGAAGCTGTATTATCTGAAGAAAAACATGGCATCAGGATTGGAGGAAGACTCATTAACAACCTGCAATATACAGCAGATACAACCTTGCTTGCTGAAAGTGAAGAGGATTTAAAACACTTCCTGTTGAAAAACAAAGACCACAGCCTTTTTTTAGAGTTTGTACCTCAAGATAAAGAAAGAAAATTTCCTCACCATTGGAACAATAAATAGCATCCATATAAATGGAGAAAAGATTGAAGTTGTCAAAGATTTCATTTTGCTTCAACCATCATCACTCACAGAAGCAGCAGTCAAGATATCACATGATGTATTGCAGTGGGCAAATCTGCTACAAAAGACCTCTTTAAAGAGTTCAAGATCAAAGATGTAACTTTGAGGACCTGGGTGTGTCGGACTCAAGCCATGGCATTTTCACCAACGTCATATATATGCATGTGAAAGTTGAACAATAAATAAGAAAGATCATAGAAGAGTTTGTGCATTTAAGCTATGGTGTTGGAGGAGAATATTCAAAGTACTATGGACTGCCAAAAGAACAAACCTATATGTGTTAGAAGTACAGCTAGAAGACTCCCTGGAATTCATGATGTCCAGACTCTGTTTCTTATACTTCACACATATTGTCAGGAGGGACCAGTCCATGGGAAAGTATATCATGTTGGTTAAAATTGAGGGTCAGAGAAAAAGAGGAAGACCCCCAATGAGATGGATTGACAAAGTGGCAGCAACAAAGGGCTCAAATGTACCAACGATTGTGAGGTTGGTATAGGACAAGGCAGTGATTCGTTCTGTTGTGCATAGGATTTGTTATGAGTTTGTAGTGACTTGGTGGCACCTAATAATAATAAATATGTATATAGTAGAGCATAGGTGTATAAAAGTCTACTCAACTTTCTTAATTCATTTATCTTTCTGATCTAAAAGTAAATAATCTCAATTAAGTGATCTTTGTTTTTCCCTCTTCTACCTCAGTTTTGGTGATTAGCCACTCAAGTGAAATATTCACTAAGTTATCATTGTTCTTTATCTAGAATTGTCAGTGTGTTCTTTTAAAGTAACTTATGAATTTTTATTAATCTTGTATTAATTTATATACAATCGTATTAAACCAATATACAATTTTATCAATTAATATTTTATTAATAAACATTCTCTATTTGTTACAGCATTGTGTTAATAAATTTCCTTTAGTTCTTTAAACAGCTTTAAAATAACTGATTTACCCACCGGGAGAATATGCAATAACAGTTGTTACATGGAGGGGATTGTAATAACAGATGAAACAAAGCATATGCTTTGTAGAATGTAAAACTGGTGATCTTGTCTGTAAACCTTCACTCAGTTCACAAAAAAGTAAAACTAAAACAAAACAAAACAAAAAAACACTTTTTAATATTTTGTCTAGTAAATCTAATATCTATGCTTCTTTAGGAAAAGTTGATATTGACTGCTTATTTTATCCTTTGTATGGGACATAGGTACTTGTTTCTTTGTATGTCTTGCATTATTTTTTATTAAAAATTGTTGTTGCTGTTGTTAAGTGCCATCGAGTCGATTCAGACCCATAACAACCCTGTATAGGGTTTCCAAGGAGCAGCTGGTGAACTTGAACCACCGACCTTGCAGTTCAAACGACTTTGCAGTCTGACGCATTAACCCACAGTGCTATACCAGGACTCCATATTTAAAGCTTTTACTCAAAGGATTTAATGGAATAGACTCCCCAAATAATAAAGAAACCCTTGTGGCTCAGGAGTTAATCAGATAGCTGCTAACCAAAAAGTTGTTATTTAAACCCACAGACATTCTCTGTGAGAGAAAGCTGTGGTACCATAAAGATTTATAG